AAAGGTAAAAGGTATGAAAAGTATGCAGAATTCCATAGTTCTTGAGTATTGAAAATACTCATTTGTTTTTTTAAACCAGACTCAGGCTTATAAAATAGCCAGCTATTAACAGTATTTTAGGAAGGAAAACAAGATACTCATTGAAGAAGGTTATGTGTTGAAAGTGTGTGTGATAAATGACATAAATATTCAAATAATGCATTTTTAGGAAATTCTTTAACTTGAAAAATACACAAGTTATCCACTAAGGACACAACTAGATAACTTCAGATCCATAAAATTTTATATTTCAGTAAAACACTCTGTGAAACATGTGATTTAACCTTAATCTTAACTTTACATAGGTTGTTACAGATAACGTTGTCTCTTTTTAGATTTATTCTAAACAGCAAAAAAAATGTCAATAGGTTATCAGCAAGACAGAGAACTTGATTTTGCTAGTTTGAAAATGGTGTTTTTTTTTAAATTTAAGAATTAAGTATCTTATATTTCTCAGAAAAAGACATTTATGTGGCCAAGGAACATATGAAAGAAACCTCATCATCACTGGTCATTAGAGAAATGCAAATCAAAACCACAATGATATACCATCTCACGCCAGTTAGAATGGCGATCATTAAAAAGTCGAGAAACGACAGATGCTGGAGAGGATGTGGAGAAATAGGAACATCTTTACACTGTTGGTGGGAGTGTAAGTTAGTTCAACCATTGTGGAAGACATTGTGGTGATTCCTCAAGGATCTAGAATCAGAAATACCATTAAACCTAGCCATCCCATTACTGGGTATATACCCAAAGGCTTATAAAACATTCTGTTATAAAGTCACTTGTATATGTATGTTAATTGCAGCTCTATTCACAATAGCAAAGACTTGGAACCAACACAAATGCCCATGGATAGACTGGTTAAAGAAAATGTGGCACATATACACCATGAAATACTATGCAGCCATAAAAATGGATGAATTCATGTCCTTTGCCTGGACATGGATGAAGCTGGAAACAGTCATTCTCAGCAAACTGAAACAAGACCGGAAAACCAAACACTGCATGTTTTCACTCATAAGCAGGAGTTGAACAATGAGAATACATGGACACAGGGAGGGGAACATCACATACTGGCACCTGTCTGGGGGTGAGGTACTAGGGGAGGGATAGCATTAGGACAAATACTTAATGCAGATGACAGGTTGATGGGTGCAGCAAACCACCATGGCACATGTATACCTATGTGACAAACCTGCACATTCTGCACATGTATCCAAGAACTTAAAGTATTAAAAAAAAGAAGTATCTAGATTTCAGATTAAAATTGTGTATATTTAATCTTTTTTGGGTAACTTAAAAATGCCATTATTGATATAGTCCATTCACGAATCTGAAATTCATGAAATAAAAATAAGAAATCAATAGTTTCCAATATATCTTTTTTAAGGATTCCCTTTGAAGACAAAACATTTAAAATATACGTTAACCTGGAAAATAATTTCTTAAAACCTGGAAATCACATTTGTCTCTTTATTATCATTTTCAAAGCTATTTACAAACTATAAATTTAAGCCTATATTTGCGTAGTTATAAATTATGTTTCACTCATAAACTAAAGCAGTTTTGTTAAATCACACTCAATAAGTTATCATTGAAGAAGTGACTGTACACTCCCCTGTAGGCCAATAATTCAGGTGAGCAGTCAGGGGCTGCAGGTCAGCTCTCAACTAAATCAAAGCAGTTGTTTTGACATATATCAGGGTTCCACGTAAGATACTATTTAAAAATAAATATTTCACAACCTTAAAAAGATTCTGAAAAAGCACTGATCAAGGAAATAGAAATGTACCAGAAGAAAAGCCTCACAAACTTGTTAACGATTCTTCTTCCCTGAGAAACTGGCAAGGGGGAACACATTCAGTTAATACATCTTTTCATTTTTATTTTTCTGTATTATTCCACAGAGATAATTTTGGGCACATTCCATCTACTTCTAATCATACTACCTGATTCAAGATTTTTAAAGTGGTGATTAAAACACAAACTTTAAGCTGACAAAAATTATTTGAATAAAGAAGTTGAGAAAAGTTTAACACAGGTTTTGAGTTCAAAACAAAGTTGAGTTAAAAACTTGTGTTCTAACTTTATGACTGGGTAATTCCTTTAAAAGCAAACATTCAGGAAAAACTTTAAGAAAAAATTCACCAAGTGTTTAAGTAAGTTTAGAGGGAGACAAGTTGAGACAGGTTGGACATGAAGTAGGCACTGGAAAAGATAGGATTGTAGGATAAAAAACATGGACAAATAATTTTCCAAAGAAAAGGAACAGAATGAGCAAAGGGATAAAGGAATGAACTGTTTCCAATGAGAAATATCTCTATTTGGTTGAGACATAGGTAAAGGGCAATAAGAAATGACTGTGAATTGAGATTGTAGCCAGATAATGAAACCAGAGTAAGAACTTGGGCCTTTTTCAGTTTAAAAAAAAAAAAAAAGTTAGGACATACCTCCTTTTACTGTGCTTTGCAGATATTGTAGTTTTGATAAATTGGTTTCTTGCAATCCTGTGCCAAGTCTCTGAATGCCATTTTCTCATTTCATGTCTCTTGCATTTTGGTAATTTTTGCAGTATTTCAAACTTTTCCATTATTCTTAATTCTGTTATAATGATCTTTAATCAGTGATCTTTTATGTTTTTGTATGAATCATACCCATGTAGGGCAGTGAATGTAATTTAAAAAGCTATAGGTTTGGATTGCTCTACCAACCAGCTGTTCCACATCTCCCTCTCCTTAAGACAAAATAACATTGAAGTTAGGCCAATTAATAATCCTACAATGGCCTCTAAGTGTTAAAGTAAAAGGAAGAGTCATATATCTCTCACTTTCAATCAAAAGCTAGAAATAATTATTCTTAGTGATCAAGTGTTTCTCACTAAGGACTGTTTTGGAAAGCCAAGATAGGCTGAAAGCTAGGTCTCTGGGACAAGTTGTGAATGCAAAGGAAAAGTTCTTAAAGGAAATTAAAAGTGCTGTTTCCGTACTATAAGTAATTGAAATGTGTACTATAAGTAATGGAACACACACGAATGATAAGAAAATGAAACAGCCTTATTGCTGATAGGGGAACATATTAGTGGTCTGGATAGAAGATCAGACCAGCCACGACATTGCCTAAGTGAAAGCCTAATCCTGAGCAAGGCCTTAACACAATTCTATGAAGGCTGAGAGAGATGAGGGACCTACAATGTGAAGCAACCAGTGCTGATGGAGAAACTGCAGTAATATCCAGAATATCCAGCTAAAATCCCTGATGAAAGTGGTTACACTAAACAACATGTTTTCAATGTAGATATAACAACCTTCTTTTACAAAAAGGTGCCATCTAGGACTTTCGTAGCTGAAGAGAAGTCAGTGCTTACCTTTAAATCTTTAAAGGACAGGCTGACTCTCTTTAGTGGTGAATGCAGCTGGTAACTTTAAGTTGAAGCCAATGCTCATTTGGCATCCGGAAAATCCTTGGGCCCTTAAAAACTTTACCTACTTTGCCTGTGCCCAAAAAATGGAACAGTCTGGATGACAGTACATCTGTTTACATCATGTTTCACTGAATATTTTAAGCCCACTGTTGAGACCTATTGCTTAGAAAAAAAAATTCCTTTCAAAATATCACCACTCATTGACCATGTACCTGGTCACCCAACAGCTGATGATGTACAAGGAGATTAATGTTGTCTTCATGCCTCTTAACACAACATGCATTCTGCAGCCATCGATCAGGGAGTAAATTTGACTTTTGAATTTTACTGTATAAGAAATACATTTTGTAAGACCATAGCTCTCATAGGTGGTGATTCCTCTAACGAATCTGGGCAAAGTAAATAGAAACCTTCTGGAAAGGATTTGCCATTCTGGATGCCGTTAAGAATATTTGTGATTCAGGGAAGGAGGTCTAAAGATGAACATTAACAGGAGTTTCAAAGAGGCTGATTGCAGCTCTCACGGATAACTTTGAGGGGTTCATAACTTCAGTGAAGGAAGCCACAGCAGATGTGGAAATACCAAGGGAACTAAAACTTAGTAACAGAGTCTGTAGATGTGACTGAATTGTTACAACTTCGTGACAAAACTCGAACAGATGAGGAATTGTTTCTTATGGATGAGCAAAAAAAGTGGTTTCTTGAGATGGAATCAACTCTTGGTGAAGATGCTGAGACCATTGCTGAAATGACAATAAATAATTTAGAAAATTATTTAAACATGGTTGATAAAGCAGAGGCAGGGTTTGAGAGGACTGGCTCCAATTTTGAAAAAAGCCCTACAATTGGTAAAATGTTATCAAACTGCATCACATGCTAGAGAAATCTTTCATGAAAGGACAAGGCAATAGATGTGATACATTTCATTATTGTCTTAAGAAATTGCCATAGCCACCCCAACTTCAGGAACCACTGCATGAATCTGTCAGCAAACAACATCCAGGCAAGATCCTCTACCAGCAAAAGGAGTACAAACTTCTGAACACTTAGATGATCATTAACATTTTTTAAGCAATAATGTGTGTGTGTGTGTGTGTGTGTGTGTGTGTGTGTGCACCCAACCTACATATACATTATGTTTGCAGACCTAATGCTATTGCACACTAATAGACTACAGTATGATGTAAACATAACTTGCATATGTATTGGGAAACCAAAAAAATGTGTGTGACTTGCTTTATTATGTTATCACTTTATTGATATGGTGTGGAACCAACCTGCAATATCTCCAAGGTATGTCTATAATAGCAAGAGAAATTTCATGTATGAGATAAATTCCAGAGATATTACAGAGGTAGAATGAATGAAACTTGAGCACTGATTGGAAGTTAAGTGAATGAAAGAAATAAACCAAAGATAATGCTAAAGTGGAGTTCAGGTAAGGACTATAAGGGTTGAAAAGATTAAAGCTAAAAGATTTTCAATATATACACGATTTGTTTATGTCAAGGAAATTTCAAAAGCGTAGCCACAATACATGAGTGATACAAATTTTATTTTTCATGCTAAAATTTTTTACAAATTTTATTGTGTCATACACAATTACAAGAGTAACTTACAACTCAATTAAAAAAATAGCATTTTGGGGACATTTCTATTTGTTTGCTACTATCATAAGCATGTTTTGTTACATGAACAGCAATAATAATTACAATTACAATTACAGAACTGCTTAATTCATAAATGTAGTAAATGTGTCATGATGGAGGCCATTATATAGTATAAACAGTAAGTGTCCAAACCTATTTTCACATTCTATGTTATTATTTATTATATAATAAGAATCAAAGATTAGAATCTAGGTAATACCATCATTCAAATATCTGACCAAGTGGATCACGTGCGCAAGCATGTCAAATCATTTTCCAAACTCGTTCACAGTTTAGTTCTAAAGATAAATATAAGACAAAACATACAAGGCATGGCTTGTTGATAATTTATGCCTAAAATCATTATATGATAAAAATCTGCATCTTTTGGAACTTGGCATTTGTTTCATCTGACACAGTAATAAAAAAGATGAATAATACTATCAGCACTTGGAATTATCCAACTACAGCTGATATAGTATCTCCCAGACTTCTAGTTTCTAAAATTCTGGGGGAAGTGGGACAATTTGAACTATAACAGTCTACATGGTAGTAATATTACCCTTTGGCCATTGGCCCAATACTAATCCTTTTTTTTTTTTTTTAATATACAAAATATGCTGAAATCATATCTCTTAAACACATTTCAATTAATGTAATTAAACAGAAGGTAACAGCTTCCTTTTAGAAGACTCAGAGTTAGTTATGAAACATTTGCCATATATTTGTTAAATTAATTTATGGAAGATTTTTATAGTCAAATATAGATCATACTATATTTTTCAATTTAGAGTCTGTGATAAACAGACAAACACAATCAAATTAGTTTTAAAAATGGAAATTACCATTTTTATCTCTTTAGTAACTTTAATCACTTGATTTTATCCAATTTAAGGACGAACTTCAAAAATCCACTGTGAAATCTGTATTCTGACTCGGCACAAAAATACACAGATGTTAGTTCTAGTTACAAATTTCAGCTGACAAGTGAAAATTTCACTTTGAAATAAGTAGATCTGAGATACAGAAGTTAAATTTTTGATGTAAACTCACCATAAATATATTGTTGTAATGTAAAAATAATTTTTTAAAAGAAATGTTTAGCAGTCTTTTTACTCCACCATCTCAAATATGTAAAATTTTTCCTAAAAGAAAATAGTCTAAAATAAACATCTCATCTGAAACCTGATTTTATAAAAAAGGGAGAAGAAATAAAACTAATTACTCTTATATGTACTTGAACCAAGTAGTTGCTGCTTCCAGATGTGAGCTAAAAATCATGACCTAATGACATAATGGTAAGCAACCTTTTGCTTACAACCCCAATAACTTGAAATTCAATTCATATTGCTTATCAAAGACCCATATGTATTTGTAAATTTAAAAATTTGCATCTTTTAAAAAGTAACTGTTTTCTTAAATAAAATATTATATAAACTGTTTATTGTAAGAGCTTTAAAAGACAAACAAAGTGGAGTAGGGGAGAGTTGGGCAAATGTCCTGCAAGAAAATATCTAGAATTATATCACAATAATAAGATTAAGAACCATGAAGGATTAGGCGAAAGTTTCAAGTCTCCTAATATGTTACTTTAATTGTGTTTTTGATCGTCATCTCTTACCAATTTGAACACTGCAATGTTCTTTCCAAACTGTAAATCAGACAATCTGAAGTGTGCTATATTTTACTGTCATGATACTTTCAGAGAAAATAATTGCTTCATTGGTCTAAACAAAAAAGGCACAGAAAAGCTGTACACAAATAAATACAGTCATTTAAATGTTTCATAATAAGGATGGTTTAGTAATTTCAAGCAATTTATGTGGTATCTAACATTTTTATACTATTCCTATTTCATATCTCAAATATATTAATCTCTATTATTTATAGATAATTTGCTCTGACAATGGATCAGTCTTTATTGGAATGATGAAGAGGCACTAAATTTTAACAGAAAATTAAGCTACAGATTATATTCCAAAGCCTTTTACAAGTGTTCATTCTCCATTTAAAATACTTTACAAAGCAACTTAATGCTACCAAAATCTTAGCCCAGCAGTATTAGCAGTATTGTCACTAGTATTTGAACTTTTCCTCTAATTTTTAATCATACCAATCTGAGTCAGCAGGGATTTCCAATATGTATTTTAAATGATAGAACACAGATATGGGAGACAGAGAAACTAGGTCTGGCTCCAATTATACTACTTACTAAAAATGTGATCTTCAGCCAGTCCTTCAAATTCTTCATGCCTTTACTTCCTTTTATAAAAAATAAGGAGCCCATCACCCTACTTTGTTTGACTCATGGGACTGTGGAAAATCATGAAAACATAGGAAAGAACTCTAAAAAGGGCCAATGTGCTATCAACATACAGAGGTTGGCTATAGTACTGGATTGTGTTAGAATGACCAGTCTACTAGGGTGTAATTTAAAAGAAAGTTGGTCCAGGAAGTATCAGAAAAATTTCTGTAACACACCTTTGTCATGTCCTCTAAATAAAGTCTGAAAGCAGTTTAGAAAAGTGTACTGATATCTATCCTATTCCCATGGAAGAAATCACACTGGACATTGACCTACGAAAAGCTAAAAGCCTCACTCACTCTTTCTAGATTTTTTATGGCTATACGTCTGCTTCACCTGAATGTGTATTTGTAGTTCTATTAATTTACAACCTGTTTTGTTCCCAACTTACTCTGACAGTTACTTAACTCTCTCTGAAAGTAGTCACATGCCATCTTATATTTCTCTTCTACCTTTTTACTTGTTTCAAATTCTTTGTTTTTTTGACTCAAACTCCACTGAAACTAGATGTAGTTAAAAAAATTTAATTCAAAAGATGAAGAAAAAAGATTCAAACCTAAGTGACTAAAAGCAAATGTTTCTTCTACTTTCCATCCTTTTCAGGAGATACTGTGTACATATTCTAATAGGATCTAAGAAGCTCAGATCATGAGAAAAATCTGTTTAATTTATACAATGTAATTTTCCAAGGTTAAAAGACACAAGCAAGAAAACAAGGAGTGATTTATGTATGAGCATATCTAAAAGATAATTCTGAAGAAAGGAATGGTGATAATGAAGTAAATGGGACATGAGGACAGGGTAGGCACATAATAGAAAGGATATGATAAAATGTCTTTAACATTTTTTTTTTATTTTACCCAGTCACTAATGTGTAAAATTTACTCATTTTAGTAAAAGTGTAGTTAAGTAGATAAATGTGAAAGCAGGCAGAAGACTGTTCACATATAAGAAAGCAGATTTGGAAGCCCTACTATGGATACAGGTGATTTTTGAAGTCACATAATAAAAAAATTTTGAGACAAAATGGAACCTACATCATACATAGACATAGATCATGTCAAAATGAGAAAATGAGAAAGATATAAAAAATACAATCAATGTAGCAGAGAGGTATGCAGTATTAACGAAAATGGTAGTAGTCAGAAAACATAGCAGAAGAAAAATGAAAATAACGATTTTTTTTCTTTTACTAGAAAGGCCATAATGAACTTAAATAATTGACTTGAGTTTAATAGTAAGAATGGTTTGAGTTAGCAATGAATTAAGGAAAGACTAGTTAAAAAAAAAAAAAAAGCACATTTGACTCATTTAAGATTCACGCAGGAAAACTTGGAGAAAATAATATAACAAATAAGGGGAAACCCGAATGTGTTTAAAGGCAGAATTAAACAAATACAGCTACGTTTTATGGTTGAGAGAGTCAGACTGATAAACAGGCTGTTTCACACCTAAGTTAGGCACTTAGGGATGGGGAAAGGGAAACCTGATTTCTGTCACTAGAAAATAGGAAGAAATTAATCTCAACGCACCTACTTTTTTTTTGGTATCATAATCACTCTTACACTTAGTGATATATATTTTAAATGTCCCTAGAACTTGGTAAGTGAAAAGACAAAAAAATAAAAACAAATGAAAAATGATACTGAAAATACAAAATGCTGAAATAAGTCAATAATCTACATTTGAAAACAATTTTAAATAAAATCAAAACCAAAAGTAGAAAACTATAAAAAATAACTACTAGAGACAGCATATTCCAAATGATGTGCAAAGTGATTAAATTTCTAAATAGGCTTTATTTGGATATAGCCAGCTTCATTTAATGACAGAACTTCTTGAGCAACTTCTGTCAAAAGAAATAATTTTCTCATCTGAAAAAGTCATAAAATTGGTAATTGGGTATCTAACAGTTGTAAAACATGTCTACACCATTCTTTAGTATGAAAAGCAACATAAAAAAATGGAGCATCAAAACATTTGATTTCAAATTTATTTTATATGCCAGATCCAACATGTAATTGGAACCTATTCCCATTCTATGGGTTTCTTAATTTTATTTTCCTATTTATTATATTTTTATGAGAAACTTGTTTTAATGAATCTGTACCACTTTATTTGACATTTACTAAAGCTGTACGAAAGCCATGCACAGTTTATTTACAGTATTGTACATTAAATGTTAATGTCTGAAGATCACACAAAGATTTCACAACACTGTAAGTAATACAGAAAGATGTGTAAAAACGTATTATTTAGGGTGTTTCAAAAATTTTAGGTATGGAATTTTGCAAAGATTATTTTGGCTTATAAGTGTTAGGCAATCACTAACTTGAAATACGTCACAAAAACATGCAGATGATTACAGTTTCAACAAATGAAAAGCTATAAATGTTTAGCTAAAAGCTAAAATATTTTGTAGCTGAAATACTACCATATAACAATGGGAATTTATAAAACAGGAAAAAAGGTTATTCTTTAAAAGTTTTCCATGAATAATAGACTTTTGGTAATTTTCTATAAAAACATTCAGAAATTAAGTTTCTCAAATTATGTTCATCACCAAAATTGTGTTTTCAGTAGTGACTTGAGCTATGACTTTTATATAACTATTGTCCTACAGCGGAAGTCTCAGCTTTTCCCTGTAGGGGACAAGCTGCGGAAGGAAATCAACCAGTAACTTCAGATTCAAGTAAAAGATCCTAGTACAAATACATCATTAACACAGAGTGGAGAGTTACAAGAACTGCAGGTCCACATATTTTTAACTGTACTCTTAAAATAGAAGTGTAAACTTTAGGTTTGTTCAATTTAAGATCTCCTATTAGGAAATATCTCTTCATTGAGAGTATAGGAAATATCAATAGATATTTCTTCTTTAAATCCATCTCTTACAGTTTTTACTGTTGTGGCTGAAGTACATTTAAATACTCAGACTGCCCCAACTGATAAGTTGTGTTTCTTCCACAGTCGACATACTGATACCTCTCCTGGGATATCTGTTCAGAGTGGCCAAAGTATGTTGTTGTCACAGTAACTCTAAAAATAATGTAAGTGGGGAGAAACATTTAATAGTTATATTAGAAGTTTTTCCATAGTGAGACTACTTTTACACATGAAAATTCTCTCCCAGAAGAGATCTAATTAATGATAATGTTGTTCACACAGACCTCTTAAGGAATATTTCCCCAATAGACAACAAAAATGATGGCTGAGCCAGCCCTATCGATGTAATTACATGTAATAAGTATAATATTTTAAAGCAATTATCTTCTGTTAAAAATACAAAAGTTCTTTATATGCTTAAAAGTGATCATGGTTCTCTTACTAAAGAAAAAAGGTTAATCAAACATCAGCTAATGGTCAAAATACCAACCTGTAACCAACAGTGTTTTATTGGCTAAGATAACACCCAATTTATACAAACCACTAATATTACCTCTCCTTATTACAGTTAATGACTATTTATCAAGGGAGTAAGGAACTGGATGTCAGGCTCAGTTCGCTCTGTTCTTTTCATTTTTCGGAACTCTTGTGATAACCAGATTCACTATTTAGAAGTCATGTAGTCTTTCACTACTTCTCTGAGCAACTACTTCCTAATTTTTAAAGTGGGTGATAGTTATTGGACCTCATAGCACTCTTGTTAAGACTTAAAACCCAACTGAGGTGGCATTTATAAAGATGTTGTGTATATTATTAAGTCAGTGTCATCAGTCTAAAATTTTAATAAGAAATATCTCTTTCAAAACAAATTCATACTTACTGCATCATGAGTACTATATTATGCACTTTGATGGATATCAGAGTACAGAAATCACTGTTAAAGAAATTAAATTGTGAACAAATACAAGTTAGTACATTATAAATTTAAAATACTCCTTCTTATATTAAAGCTAACAGAGATGCTATCTAAGATTATATAGTAAGCATTTGTTGGTTGAACATTTTGTATACTTCAAACAATGATATATTCATGACTTCCTATTTGAAAAACATGTATGTACTCGTATCACTGTAGCCGCAGAGTTGTTTAAATGCAGGCTATAAATTACTTAAATATTTTGCTTTTCTGAATTTCTATAAACCCTAAAATTCTATATCTAAGCGTAGTCAAAAGATAAAATTAATTATTATAATTAATCATAATTCTTAAATAATTGATTAATGATTTTTTTTACCTAAAAAGAGTAAATAATCATTTAGACCCATTGTAAAAACTGCAGAACTTCAAACCATTAAGCAAACCAATAATCATTGGCATTTTTAGTTCCCCCATACTAAAATATCAACACAAGACAGTTTAAGAATATGCTTTTTATAACATAGTAACTAAAAATAAAGCGACATTGTATATATGACCCTAAAGCTGAAAAATAAATTTTAAATGTGTGTGTGTGTGTATACACACACACACACACACACACACACACACACACACACACACAAATATTATATATGTTGAAAAAGAGAAAACAGAGAGGACCAGAAGCCAGAAAAAATACTGCATAATGTACTCTTTCTGACTGATTGTGGAAATTTAAAAATATGTATATTCTTTATACTTTACACACTTCATTATTTGATAATAAAAAGTTAATACAAATCAGAACTTACTACATATAACTCATTTCCTCTGCTATAATAGTAGGTACTGTGTAATCAATCTGAAAGGTAAAAAAAAAAGGAGAAAAAATCAGTAGAGAAAAGGATCAAAACATCAAATATTTCAGATATATTTCATAACTTCAAAGAATTAGAAATTTTTCCCTTTACAAGCTTGATTCTTAAAGATTTCATCTTATATGTTTATAAGACACATTAATTTTCTTCCTTTTTTTTTTTGAGACAAGGTCTCACTGTGTCACCCAGTTTTGAGTGCAGTGGTGCAATCATGGCCTGCAAGCCTAGATCTACTGGGCTGAAGTGATCCTCCTACCTCAGCCTCACCAGTCGGTGGGACGACAGGTGCACACTACCACATTGAGCACATTTTTGTATTTTTTGTAGAGACAAGATTTCACTGTGTTGCCCAGGCTGGTCTAGAATTCCTAGGCTCAAGTAGTCCACCTGACTCAGCCTCCCAAGGTGCTGGGATTACAGGCATGAGCCACTGTGCCCAGTAGACACATTTCTACATCAAGTTTTTGGGGAAATCCCCCACCTTCTTCAAGTTATATGATATACAAAGTTGAGATTCCTTTAACTCCTCCAAAGTATTTCATGATACTTACTTGTTTCATATCAAGTGGACCAATATTGGTTATGTTGTTTAAGCGTGCCTTTCCAATAACTGTTTTTGAAAATTGAACTTGGGCAGTGATGTTTTCAACCTCGACAGAATAATAGTTATTGTTCGTTATGTTTAGTGTGTTCTACAAAAAAAGGAGATAGAAAATGTACAAGTTAGCTAAAAATAAACATATAAATATGTATTTAAAATTAAAGAAAGTAACTTCAGCTGTGGCTATGCTTCATTATTAAAGAAAAGACAGTATTACCGAAATGTCAAAGAAAATTAAACCAATTATTTAGTTTTATGCATGAATACTATGTATGTAATAGGCCTAGAATAAACACATGACTCAGCATTAAAAAAAAACACACAGAAAAATGTAGTTTCAGAATATGGACAAATGAATGTCAGAAAATGTATTTGTGGCCTTAGTGAATGTTCAATACAAATAATTTTAAGATTTAATCTACATTTTTACAAATATATATATATATATATATACATGTCTCCACAAACTATATTAGTAAGCTGTTTCCAATACAAAGATGATCATTTAAAATGTTCAACAGTACCTAAAATCTTTTTTGTTTAAAAGAAATTGCTATTTAAACTTATATAGTAGTAGAGATTTACATCAGCTCACTATGAAGAAGAAATGGGGTAGATTCAAGTCTTGTTGGCTGGAAAGAAATGTGGTTGCATCACTGATATGCTTAAGTAACAACTAATAGCTAGGATCACTGTCTAGTTTTCTAATTTACAACTACAGCCTCAAATTGCTTTAGAAAATAGTCATTAAAAAATTTAAAAATGTTTAATCAAAAAATGACAGATACAGAAATGATCTGAAACATTCATACCAAAAGGTATCATAAACAAAATCAGTAGATACTAAATTAGAATATTTGTAAGCATCGGTTTATAATCTATAATATGCATAGAGCCCTTACAAATTGAAAAGAAAAAGACAAAACTCTAACAGGAAACCAAAAAAGAACAAAGGATATACATAAAAAAATACAAAGCTAAATGACTGAGAAATATTTTACAATGCTCAAATTCATTTATAGTCAGAAAAAAGGTAATTTAAGTAAAAATGCAATACTGCTTTAAATTTCTAAAACTAATAGAATTTATAGAAAGCAACAAATTCTATTCTTGGCATGGATATGGGCAAAAGGTATATTTTTGTATTGCTAGCAATATGTGAAGTGTTACAGCCATTTTGATGAGTAATTTAGTAATATAGATTAAAATTAAAATTATGCATAGACTTTGATGTAGCAATCCTACTTCTGAGCAACTATTCCACAGAAATAAAAACATTAGAATGCTAATGACAGTGTTATTTGCAATTGGAAGAAAAAATCCTGAAAATAAAATGAATTCTATTCATAAAAAGAATCAATAAATATATTGTCCTTATATGTAATATTATGAAGACATCAAAAAGAATCAATTAAGCCAGATAATTAGGAAAGATTTTTACAAGGTATTAACAAATGTGAAAACCAAGATGCACATAAATACTAAATTATATTTTTTAAAATAATGATTTTATTAAGCTGAATATGTGAGTGTATATGTAAACATTAATATGTTAATATGAATATGGAGAAAGATATACAAAGATACAATACGGGATGAGTTGAAGGAGAGAAAACAGTTTTAGTAAAAAGGATAAAAAGAATATGCTAGAGTCAGCAAATACATGATTCCATTTATGCAGTCCTTTACACTGGTATAGTCACAAATGTAAAGAAATTTCAAAAAAGTTCTCAAACATAGTAACCTTATCTAAATATATAAATATTTCATTTACTTGGTTCTTAATTCCCATGTCAATTTCATTTCTAGACAAGGTAGGAAAGAGGTTGTTAATTTGAGGTCAGTGGATCTTCTAATAAGACCAAGGATTGATTTAGAAGAATCTTGGAAGTCTCTGTATATACAAACTTATGCTGGTAAATGTCTTTTTCTAAGTTTCACTAGAATATTTAAGGGATTGATGATGTAAAACGTGGAGAATAAAAATACTTATGAGAATTAAGACAAAGAAAAAATAAGACAGAATAAATAAAAATGCAGTAATAAAGGTTAGACATTTTGCTGCCCAGAGTAGTGAGAAAACATTTAATTTAAAAGATGAAAACAGATCACAGCCATTACTAACAAAGGCCCTAAACTACCTATGATCTTTAATTGGCAAATGTACTTTCAGGAATTTATCCTAAAGAAATAAACAGAAATGGAAACAAAATTTAAGCACAAGACGTTTTCTGAATATTTGTAACAGCAAAATTAAACATCCATTAAGAAAATGGTGAATAAATTATAATGCGATCATGTAAAAGACTACACAAGACCATTTAACATGGGAAAATGTACTGTGATCTCAGTTGAAATGTGCATTTGTGTACATGCGAATGGGTGTGTGTGTATTAACGTGAGAATGTTTGATTATATTTGTAAATGCATATGAATTGTTCGTAAATCGCTAATAGTCTGAACCAGGTAGACATAAAAATCTTTATACATGATGGGAGTTTTCAAATGTCATATAATGAAAATTAAATATTTTCATAAGTAGAAAGACAAATGTTACTAAAAAGTAGTACTACTAATTACGCTACTCATTTTAAGAAATCAAAACAGTCCCATTTTCAAAATACTAAGAGACAATGTACAGAAAATTTAGCCTCTTATCTGTCTAGTTAAAATTAATGTTCATCCAAATAATAATCTTATTTTTCATTTAATGTTCAGTCTGTCTCAGTTTAATTACGTGGCAGTATTCTAAGATGTCAGGATTTCTGCATAATTATTTAAAACAAAGAGCATAATATTCACATTTAATTATACTTTCTGGTATTTAAAAGAAAATGTCACATGGTTTTTTATTATTTATTAGTACATATTTATGGTATTTGACACTAAAAAAGGCTTTGGAGATAGGCTAAAAAAAGCCTGGCCTATGTTTTAAACACTGCATGAAAAAGAAAATATGTTCCTTGTTCCAAAGGGCTAAGTGAGAAAATACCCAATAATTCCCCAGGGGTGTGAAACAATTTACAATTAGCAATGTGTCATAAATGTTTTATTCATATATATATATTTTATATATATGATACATAATATATTCATATATACATATGAATATATATATATATATAATATATATATATATTCCTGTGTTGTTGTTTTTAAAGAAAAAGCCCTTAAACTGGCAACTTTTGATAGGAAGCAATAAGGATACACGGATCCATGGGAGTTATTTTTTCTCTGTAATTAAGTAGCAATTCCACTTTAACATACCATTCTGTTTCACTTGCTGTCCCAACAAACCTCCCATTCCCAGCCACCACCACAGACATCTCTGCCTCAGCCTTAACTATGCCATGCACCTTTGCAAGAAAAAACAACTGTCCCTCCTCCCGGCAGATCACTGTCACACAGATATATCTCTTGGCTGGCCAGTATATATCATCCCCTTTCCTAATTCAATAGTTAGCAAACCATGCTCTTTTCAAACAAACGTTAACATGTAAAACAGGTAGAAGACCTCTTTGAGGTTTTGTTTGTTTTGTTTTCATGAGTAGCAAAGCTAGACAGACCTTCCAAAAACAATATCCTGAGAAACACACAGGGCATTTTCACATACGCTAATTTACAAAAGAGAAACTAGTCATTTGTATTTCATCTTTAAACCTGATAAAGGAATGGTCTGTTAAAGATGGCAAAAAATGTATTTCACCAAATACAGTGAAATGAAAATGTTACATTTATAAAACCTATCAAATCAACTGTCAACACTTTGCTAGAAGTTATTCCGAATCAAATGTTGAAAACTAAAATGTGGTACCTTTTTTCATTAATTTAATTTCAAATGCTAAATGATTCTGTATATAGAGAATTGCCGGTATTTATTATTGGTATTTTTAGCAGAACCAGAAATGGTAGAGAAAGTCAATACAGCAAAGGCGTAAGGAAAGTACACTGACCAGTGTCACATTTAACAAATACCTTCTCAATAGTGACAAAGGTGCTTCTTAGTAGGACAAAAGAATGAAGTTAAACACAGTTTTCATATAAATTTATACTTACTGTGATATTTAAATATATTGTACGTTTCTGAACATCATAACTAACATAGGCTGATTTTACACCAATGTATTTTACGTCGATGGAGCGAGGGAAAAGGAAAAACACAGCCAATCCGGAAAGGAGCAGACAGACAAACACAGAAGCCATCACATACAGCTTTCTGAAAAGGAAAAGAGAGTATTTAATTACATGTGCATCAAAAATTATATCATGTAACATTAGAGAATATATGTTCAATTTCTGCCATATATCAACAGCAACATGTGTAAGACACTAAACGTTACCAAATTTTCATATCTGAAAGTACTGGGTATAGCTGTGTCTGAATCTATTACGTACTAAGATGTTCTCCTTAAAGGATGAGACTGGATGGGCACGGTGGCTCATACCTGTAATCTCAGCACTTTACGAAGCTGAGGCAGGCGGATCACAAGGTCAGGAGTTCAAGACCAGCCTGACCAACATGGTGAAACTCCATCTCTATTAAAAATACAAAAATTAGCTGGGTGTGTGGTGGTGTGCGCCTTTAATCCCAGCTATTCAGAAGGCTGAGGCAGGAGCAATGCTTGAACCCAGGAGGTGGAGGTTGCAGTGACCCAACTGCACTCCAGCTTGGGTGACAGAAAAAGGCTCCGTGGGGAAAAAAAAAAAAAAAAAAAAAATCACATTTTTGGAGACTGAGATTTTGGGCTTAAAATCAATAGAGTATTTACTTTAGTGACTGCCAGAGCAGTTTTGACATTAGAATCAAGCTCAGGAGCTTCATACAAATACACATTGCAAAACTCCCTCTGAATTCACTGAAGTAGAATTTTCACATGTGAGTTTTGCCATTACATGATTCCCTAAAGCGACTGTTTATCAGAACCATCTTAAAAATAATAATGATGGGGGAGAGAGAACATTAAGAAAAATACCTAATGTATGCTGGGCTTAGTACCTAGGGGATGGATTGATAGGTACAGCAAACCACCATGGCACACGTTTACCTATGTAACAAACTTGCACATCCTGGATATTTTTAAAATATAAAAAAATAATGACATAATCACATACCTCATCAATGATTCTTACTGTGATTAGTCTTTTTTTGAATATCCTCACCTCAAAGTACTTATGTACTCAGGTTTAAAAATACTGAGTTTACATTGATCAACTCTGCTTTGAAGGTGTGAGATTTTTTTTAATCAAGAAAAGAGATATTATGCAGGTTTAAGACAAGGAAAAAGAAAACTAAACCTTACATGCCTTTGCCATTCTTCTAACTCTCCTGAAATGTATTTCTTCTGTTTCTTGCTCTTTCTCATCTTTGTAGATAAAACTTTCCTCTGTTCAAGGTTAACCTCAAAACCAAAGTTTCAAATAACTATTTCCTCTTCTCTCTAACATACAAGCCCTCTATTGGATGCCCACAATATCCTGTTTTGTTTCTGAGTCTTGCATGCCAATTACTTCCTATTTTCTTTACATACTCGTCATACAAAAATTTTCCATTTTATTGTTTCTTCCATTCTCTCTTCACCACCAAGTCCTTTCTAAATGCTTTCATGGATTTAATCTTTGTATGCATTACAACAGCTATGAACGTGCCTCCTGCAGATATTATATAAATATTTCTGAGTATTTTAAATTGCCCTATGTAAAAAGAAAGCAAACTGGTTTATTAACAAAACAAGCAAACACAAATTTGCTAAGTCACTGCTACTGTGATATTGTGCTGACCTAGAGCCAGAACCTGAGCAACGCCATTTTATAAGATAAAGCTGTGTTTGGCTTCTGTAAATAAAGCTGCTAGTTTGCTCTGAAAAATGCCCACTATGTAAAGCTGCTTAAACTTTGCTTATCAGTAACTGCTCTCTGTGGCCCTAATGTGACAGGCAAGTAGTCCTAATCCACGGCTCCTGCGACTTGTAATAAGTAACTAAGGTCTGTGATTTCTACCTTACCCAGATAATGTGTAAACAAATGTTTATCTTGACTTCTGTAAACCAATTAAGTAACAAACGGAATGACAAAAGTTCCCTGGCCCTTGGAATATCCGGAGCCCTTGTCTCCGCCCAGGAGGTGATTTACAGAATCCACTAGCCCTCGGAATGTCTGAAGCCTTTTCATCCCCATCGCCGCTCTTCACCCCCAATCCCAAGGTGGTTTTTCAGGTATAAAAAGTCTTGGCACCTTCCTTTCGATGCCACAGGTTGGAGAGACATGAGTCCTCTGTGGTCGCCGGCATAATAAATGACCCTGCAATCTGGCATACTTTTGTCTTGGTGCTAACTTTCTATGCTCGGTCCAGTATAACACTACTAAGTCCATACTGTTGTCCCGAGCAAACAAAGCAGTTCCCACTCACTTATTTTGGACTCTCTCAAACTGAGTAGGGTAGTGTTCCCCACTGGATTACCTAACAGGAAATTTAAACATATCTTTAGTACCTATAATATGCCATAAAAAGGCATTAAATATGTTTTAGTACCTACAATATGCCAAAATGTTAGTACCTACAATATACCATAAAAAGGTATAAGAGTTTAAAATCATCATAATAAAAATCTGAACTTTGTTGGATTTTTCTAGACTTTCGTGTTTTATTTTTAATTACTTATTGGCGTGTGAACTCATCATAATCTATTTAGTGCTTTTGGCCTATAAATCAGTCCTAGTTGTGAATAAATGAATCATGTTCTAAATTACTCTACCAAGTTTGTAGCCATAACAAGTACTGTTGAACCTGGTGGGACAATAAAACATTCCATGTAGTATTTCATTCTGAATTGAAAAACTGGCTGGTTGACTGGCCATATACATTCATTATAAAGTTCATGAATAATGATAATCCTGGGAGTTATAAGGTGATGATGGTTATGAAAGTTGTGTGGTATATCTGCAATTAAGTTAGAATTCCATTTTTGCCATTTCCTACCCTCAGTATTTAACACAGTTTCTTCTTCCTCTTTAAAATGCATGTTTGAGGATTAAATGACACAGCTAACGTATACAGACAAAAGCAATTGATAACTATAATTTTCTGATAATCTCACCACAACTCACAATTTTTAAAGAAATAAAGATCCAAAGTTCTCAAAATATTATAATTTTATTACAAATTGAGAAACAACTGTTTCTGGCCTCTGTGGACTATTCCCTCTGTTTCTATTGAGTGGTCTTTCCTCAGCCTCGTATATGTTCCTCACATATATGTTGATCAGGAAGCAGCTGCAGACTTAAGGGCACCCTCTGCAGCTCTCTACCATCTGGTACTCAGCCCTGCAAACTCTAGTCATCTTGGCTTTCTAGACTCCCAGCTCCATCTCCTCAATTCAGGGAGACCACCGAGCTCTGCCTGGGTTGGCTCCTTAACTTGTACTGCAGCCTGGAACCTTCTCAGACAGTAAGCAAGTACAATCATAAAGCTTGCTGGTGCAATCATAGGGCTTATCTGCTTTGTTTTTGTATTCTCAGGAATCACTGCACTATGCTGGCTGATGTCCACTGTCTGAAAATATTGTTTACTATATATGTCCAGTTTTTTAGTGATTTCAAGTGGGAGTATTTCAGGCATTATTCTATTTTGGTTGAAAGTGGAAATTCCAGTTTCTTTGATTTTGTATCTCTTTGCACTTAGTGCTAAAAATCTTGTTCCCTAAAGACATTTACATAATTTCTTATTTACTTTACATATAAAATTTGCAAACTACACCAAAGGTACTCCTAACACTGCACCTATTAAGTACAGTTTAAAATTTGTTGTGATTCTCTTTGCCATCTGGAACACAACTTACATTTACAGTCATAACGTTTTCAAGTCACTTAAAATAATTATTTCAGTTTCATCAGTGTCACAAGCTTGATCTACAGTTAGAATACTGTTTTTTTTTTGTCTCAATTTTTGGCAGTTACTTTAACTTTTCACTTTTTATGTGATGTAAAAAATATGTACACAGATATAAACACACGTATACACACCTTACTTGCTTATCCACTCCCTCTTCCAAATTTCTTCCCCAGGTCGGAAGGGAATCAATTGTATTAGTTTTTGGTTTTGTCCCATTGTTTGTCTGTTTGTGTGTATATGTGTGTAGGTGTGCAGGTGTGGTGTTTTCAAATAAAAACATATTCTCAATATCATACTGCAGTAATACATGGTTCTTAATCCATTGTACTATTAAGTACCTGTAGTATCTTATTCCATCAGTCGTCTATTATTGGTATTTACATTGTTTCCAGTTGTTGGCTTCTGCAAACATTGGCACAATAAATAATTTGTGCAAATACCATTTACCATATTTGACAACTATTTTTAGAATAAATGTTTTCAAAGTAGGATTCCTGAACCAAAAAGTAAATGCAGATGTAATCTGGCAAATAATGCCAAATTCCTATTCACTAATAGGGAATGAATATACTTGTTTTCAGTCAGTACTGCCAACAAAGTATGTTGTTAACATTTTGGATTTTTGTCAGTCTAACAGAATTGGCATCTATGTGTAGTGTTAATTTGCATTTATATTACAAGCAAGATTGAACATCTTTTCAGATATTTAAAGGCCATTTGCATTTCTTTTTTGTGAACTAGCTGTTCGTAGCTTCTGTTTTGCTGTGGAGGTTGGCCTTTTCCTTCTCAAATTCTGAGGTTCTTTATAGAGTATTGTCCCTTTGTCTGTGATATGATTTGCAAACATTACCTCCCAGTTTGCTATTCGTATTTTGAATTTCGTTAAGGCTTTATCTTCATCCTGTAAGTGTATCTTGTCAAATGTACCTTTTCTGCACTCAAAATCATAGGTGAAAAAGTTCTCTCACTTTTAGGTTATAAAGGGATATCCTAATTTCCTTCATACTCATATCTGTCTATACATTTTGTAATAAAGGGTCAGATTGACTGTTTATAAAATCCTTGGTTCATTTTATTTTCCTGATTATTAAATACATCACTCCACTGCTTCTTTGTTTAAGGCACTGTGGTCAAGAAGTAGTAGCATGTCAATCTGATTTTCTAAGCTTTTTAAATTAATTGATCCTTTTGCCTGGGTATTTAGGAGTTTTGTTGTTGTTAACCTTAAAGTTGAAGAATTTCACTAAAATGAGTTGATGTTTTTCAGGATTGTGGTGTGTTTCAATATGTAGGTCTCTGTGTTTTTAATGTTTTGCATTTATTTCTTCAGTTCGGTTCCTATAGTTTGCTTCTTCACACACTCCAATTACATACATACTCAGTTTTCTTTGACTCTTAACACGTTTTCTCACAAATCCTTTACATTAATTTGTTGTGTATGTTTTCATTCTTCCTGTTTGTGCTCTATTTCTCTTACTGCATTTCCAATGTATTTGTATTTGTGTTCTTCCAGTTTTGTGGAAATGTTTTTTTTCCTAATTCTTTCCAGAGGTCTATAAATTGATTTCACATACTCTCATTGTGTAGTTATCTCATTTCTGAGCTTCTCAATTTCTGCCTTATGCTGTCCTGTTACAGCTTCTACAGTATTAAAGTGTTCATCTGCTCTTCTCATAAGCCTTTATTGTCAGCATTTTGTTCCGCTTACTTTCTTCAGCTTCTTAAAAATTATATTTGTGTAATGCTTTATTGCAATCCTTTCCAGTTACTCATGTTTAAATGAGAAGAGCTTTTGTATTTTTAAGAAAATGTTCCATTTTCGGTGATGGAATATGCCAGTGTTGCTTTGCTAGTTTTACTGTTGAAGGGCTCCATCCTCTGTTGATAAACAAAGTATCTGAAAACATGGCCTCCATGTATATTTATCTCCACAGTTTTGAGATGATCTCCCTAATATCTGAGTCTGTTCTCTCCTTTATTCCTAACTCTTGTCCTGTATAAATTGGATTCTACTCAACAACATTTTTCCTGAGGATGTGTATCTGTATCCTTTTGCAAGATTTTTTGTTTTGCTATTTCCTAAGGTCTAAAGATACAGGATGGTCCAGTTTCTTCTTCTCAAAGATGGTTAATAGGTCTCTGTGGTCTTTTTGTACTTTGTCCAAGCTAGAGCATGCAGAATCTTGTCATTTTAACAGATAATTCTTGGAAATATTTGCTGAGGGTCCTCTTCTTTTGGGACATAGTATTTGCTTTGTGTATCCAGGCTCATAGGATGCTTAGGAGCTCTCTTTTTGCTTTCCTTCACAACCTCCACACAGCTGCTAAGCCAGTTTGGGTTCCTGGTATCATCCTGTTTAAAAACCAGTTTTATTCTGGGGTCGTGGAAGACACCTTATCATCCAATTTTTAATGAAAATTGCATATGTGTGTGTGTGTGTGTGTGTGTGTGTGTGTTTCCTACTGCTATTCTAGATCTATTTCAATAGATTTGAGAAGATAAAGATACCACACTGCTTTCAAGACCTGACCCCAACCAGAAATTCCTTTTTTGCTTGTCTGTTTAAGGATACGAAGCATATTATGGCATAATTTAACAGCGTGACAGCATTTTTCCTTTTAACAGTTTTAATAGTTTCAAATTATTTATATGTAATTTGAAAAAATACAAAAATAAAACATAGAACACTGACATAATCTTAGAATCACTTACGTTCTTCTTGGCCTTAATCTCTGATCACTATATGGAATCAATGCCACCAGTTGGTTTTCTTGCCCTAAATGTGAAAGAAGTAGGTTTAGAAATTACTATGATTAATTAAAAATATAATAGCTCCCATCATAATCTGGTTTGGAAAGACCAGAATATCATCTGGCACTCATCTCTTTAGTAGACTGCTCTCTAAGTCTTCAGAAATTACCCAGCAGAAGTTCTAGAGAAGACAGTGTGTTTTTCATATCTACTATAAAAAAAAAGTATAACAAATGAGGGCTGTATTACTTTTTCTTCCACTGAAAAAAGTCTAACAAGTCCCAGCTTTCAGAAGAGCTGAATTTACCAGGCCCTCCTTCAGCTTCACTGTTGTCCATTAAGATTCTGATTTGGTTGTCCGGATGATAGAAGAAGAAACATACTGCTAATCTCCCATTCCTGGAACCTCTATCATTGCAGAGGTTCTTACACTGTCCCACTTGAAAACCAAAACCAGCTTTTGAAGTAGGAGTCTCAAGTTTTAAGAGCCCCCTACATAATGAGCCTTCCAGGGCCCTTTCAGGTCTCACCCCAAACCACATTAAAGTCACTTCAAAATCCATTTCTTTCTTTCTTGGGTTGAGCAATATGCATAAGCCTTAATGGATAAATGGACCTTTAAATGCCAATTTTATAATCTTAATAGAAGTTGACTTATCATATTAACTATTAAGGTACCAGATAGTCAAATTCTCTTCCAAAGCTTTCTAAAATGCTTCTTCCCCCCGACACTTCTATACTCTTCCTCTCATCTGTGCTCCCCCAACACACATATATATAATTATACAATTACATATAATATGGATATCTGTATCTTTGTGTGTTTATATATCTCACCTTATTTAGTGATATTCATTTGGCTAAAACTACAACCCTGGTTAAAACCAGCCCTCTGCTCCTATGCATGTATCCACACAGCTAAACATGGACAGGTAGAAACACACAACAATACTCACTGGTTTCATTTTTGATGGCTCATCTCAAATAGCACTTAATGATGTCAACAATCATACTACATTTCCCACGTTCATACTCTCAATCTGCCTCTCTAAGACCACAATTTTATAACTACAACTCTCTCTTCAAATCTTTAATATCTTACACTATCCTAATTCGTAGTTCATTATGTGATAAACAGAAGAGGATTTCCACAATCTTCTATTAACAAGCCTGTCCACTTTTCTGCTTCTGTGTCCATACTTTATCTTCTCTCTTATTACCAAGAATAAACTACCCATACTTATAACTTAACTTTTATAGAAAAAAGAGCAGCTCTTTGCTTAGATTTGTGCACTAGATCTGCCCTTTTATCTATTCAAGGACATTGCTTCAGTAAATCTCTTATCTCCAGAATTACCAATGTTTTCTCTAAAGATAATTCTCATCAGCATGCAAACATCTATTATTCACTCCATCTTATTAAAAAAATCCCTCTCCTGACCTCAGAGCCCCTTCCAACCACCACCATCTTTTCTCTTCTATGGAGTCAAATTTCTCAGAAAATCTGTTTTCTCTATATATAACATCTCCTATGCACTCTTGAGCCTACTCTATACATGCTACACATGCCTTTACCAAAACTGCTCTTTAAAACTCTCCTGTAGCCTCAGTATCAGCAAACCCAATGGCCAGCTCTCAATCTTCACATTACATGATCTATCAGTAGCAACCAACGTTGGTCACTCTTTCCTCCTTGGTATATCTTTTTCACTTACCTTCCATGATACCAGACACAGTGATTTCCTCCTCTCATTCTAGCTGTTCTTTCTCAGGATCCTTTGTTAATTCTTTTACTGACCTTGATATACTACAGCGTCTCAGGATTCAGTGCTAGGGTCTCATCTTGCTCTCTGCACCAACTAGCTTGGTACTGTCATTCAGGTGAGCTTTAAGTGTCATCTATAAATTGATAACTTGAGGCTGGGCCTTGCCCTTGAATTCCTAACCCTTATGATAACTAACAGCCTACTGAACATACCCATTTCCATGTCAAACAGGCATCTCCAAATACATACGTCTAAACTGGAGCTCCTGAACTCTCCTGTGACATATACACTCAAATCCTTGTTTTCCATTTTAATAAACTGCTGCTACATTCTCTCAGTTGCTCAGACGAAAAACAAAAAACTTTGGAATCATCCTTGATTTCCTATTTTCTATACTCTGTATCCAGGTGGCCAAAAAAGTTTACTGGTTATAACTCAAAAATGTAACCAGACTGCTAAAACAGTACTCCTCCATCTCCGAGCCTGGTGCATTAATCCCTTCGACTACAGTAATTATTTTATTCTCAAACAGCTCCTATCCTGTGAAGATAAAGCCATCATACTCAAAGGTCAATGCAAATGTAAACTTCAGTTCCAACCAACAGCATTTTTGAAAATCTGTTATACTTCATACTTGCGTTTTGTCCTCTTTCCCTAGGTGTCTTCAAGGTCACATATCAAATTTCACCAAGAAGATAATGAGAACAGCATAAGGTATCTTAACTTTTTCTGCTTATTGCCACTGTGCCTAAAATAACTTGTAAGCAGCACATAGCGATTATTTCCTTCTGCCTTCCCCTGTGATATATCACAAACAATTTTTTTTTCAATTTGGCTCATTTTTACATATCATCCCTCTTCATAGAATTTCTTTTAGAAATGACTGATTAGGGCATAGCCACCTTATTCTTCCTCTTAGAGAATCAATTAAAAATATTAGGTTAGCCAGGCGTGGTGGCTCACAGCTATAGTTCTAACACTTTAGGAGGCCAAGGCTGGATGATCCCTTGAGTGCAACAATTTGACAGCATCCTGGTAAACATGGGGAACTCCAGCTCCATCCTTATTATTAAAAATAAAGTTTTAAAAATAACATGACAGAATAAGCTTCCTTACACATTAATTCTGGCTGGGCATGGTGGCTTACTGGTATAATCCCAGCACTCTGGGAGGCTGAGATGAGAGAACTGCTTGAGGCCAGGAGTTCAAGACCAGCTTGGCCAACAAAAGTGAAACCTCATCTCTTAAAAAACTAAAATTAGGCCAAATTACTTAAATTGTTTCTAACATCTGATACAGCAAAGTAGCAAAGTAACTATGATATCATCCCTATAAATGCCAAATAGGATTAAAAGTTTTCATTTACCAGACAGTGAATATCTGCTATAATAGTAGGTGGGAAAGAAAAAATACTGGAGGTAGTGAGGTTGTTTTCCTTAATAATTTAGGAATTAATCAATTAATATTTAATTAATAATTAAATATTAATTTAATTTAATTAATTAACCTTGATTAATTTTTTTTGTTTGTTTCTTTTGCATCTTTTTGCCTGAAGATAACTGATGTTTCAACTTTAATTCTAAGTCTTCTAAAACAGGTGGTTACTTACACCCATAGTTTTTATAATATTTGAGCAAATATCTGAAATCATTTTTTAAAGGGAAAACAATGCGATAACACATACCCCTAGGAATTCTTCCAGTTCCCTGACAAGTAGGGCAGGTGACACTATCTCTTCCTGTAAATTCCACATATGGAAACTGAGAGACATCTCCATTTCTTCCGTCTTCATTATGGACTTCACTATTAACCAATCCATTCCTCATATTTTCAGATGTGACTCCATCAAAAGCATCTTCTTTGCTTGAATGCAAAGGCAAATGAGAAAGAGACTTTCCCATGTCTACAGAAAAATAAAAATCTTATAGTAAACTTCAGGGAAAAGAATACATTCAAGAACACTATGAGATATTTATGCTAATTAATTTAGAACAGTCAAGCAAAAGTCAAACTCTGTAAAATATCTGAAGGGATTTACTCTGAGCCAAATATGAGCGACCAAGGCCTCAGCCACAGTCTCAAGAGGTCCTAGAAAAATGTCCTCAAGGTAGTTGGGTTACAGCTTGATTTATACATTTTAGAGAGACAGAAATTACAGGCAGAGGCATGAATCAATACATATAAGGTATACATTGGTTCAGCACAGAAAGGCAGGACATTTTCAAGTGGGTGTGGGAGGCTAGGGGGTGTCCAGGTCATAGGTGCATAGGTGGATTTAAAGATTTCCTAATGGAAGTTGTTTGAAAAGGGTTAAACTCTACCTGAGGGGCTGAAGTCAGCAGAAAGAAATGTTTGAAATTAAGACAAAGGGAGGAGGTTGTGGAAGCCATGGTTCTTTTTATGCAGATGATGCCTCCAGGTAGCAGGCTTCAGAGAGACAGATTGTAAATATCTCTTATAACAACCTAAAGTATTCCAGGCTCTTCCTTAAATCTCTGCTGGATTAGAAAAAGATCTGGAAAGGAAAGGGAATTCTGTACAGAATGTGGATCTTCCCCACAAGAGACAGCTTTGCAAGCCCATTTCAAAGAAATATGTTTTTGGGGTAAGATATTTTGATTTCTTTCAAGATCTGCTATCTGTCAAGTGATGCTACATTAGAGTCAGGTTGAGATTTGATGTCTTATTGCTACAAAGAGACTGTTTTGTTAGTCTTAAGATCTCTTGTTTTGATTAATGCTGGTCAGTTGTGTTTGAATTCCAAAGGGAGAAAGGTATAATGAGGCATGTTTAATCCCCTTCCCCTGCCTTTTCATCATGGCCCAAACTACTTTTTTAGGTTTACTTTGGAATGCCCTTAACAGAGAAGGGGGGGTCCATTCAGTCAGTTGGGGGGCTCAGAATTTTATTTTTGGTTTACAGAACAAACTTTAAGAGAATGTTCAAAGTGTCTTTTGGATTAAGATTGTATCTAATCAAAATAATGTCTGAAACAAGAAATCCATTTACCAGAGTCCAGAAGTGTTTTTTTTTTTTTTAACAAAATAATATGAAATGATATCCTATCATGCTTATGATGAGAATGGGCTTTCAAAATATTAACATTTGACAAAAGTCTACCTCTGCAGGTTCTCTGAAAAGAAACATGCAGGTTTCATTTTTCTTAGAGTAAAATAAAAATACATTCTACCTTTTAAATAGTCGGCACTAAAGGCAAAAATTGCTTTGCACAGACAATAATAACTAGGTATTAGATGTATATCACCAGGTAACTTCAAAGTTGTATGTTTCAGCCTCTGAAAATTCACGCACCTTGGTGATAAATACAATCAACACTCCTTTCATCCTTAGATTTCTTGCTTTAAACATTTAAACTTGCAACAACAATAAAAAGCCCTAAAAATTCAAAATCATGCAGGTTTTTTTTCATTCAACAGTTGACAGTTAAAGTTATAAAGCCAACATTCCAAAATGTTACATATAATTTACCAATACAAAGCAGCGAAATTTAGAACACTAACTTTAAAATTTCAGGATAAAAGTATCAAAATAAGATGGGGAAAATAAAGTACAAATGTAAAATCTAAGTGCAAATAAATAATTAGCACTAGTGCCTACACAAAAATAACTTCTGCAGGTAGATAATGCAGTAACATTACACTTAAGGTCATACAATTTTAAAGCTCAAAAGAACTTAATAGTCATATAATACACCCTGCTATTTTTCTGCTTATATTCTGAGAAAAAGTTAATAAACTAAAAAAGCAAAACTTAAAAATAACATAATTGTACTCTTTCTAAATTTGATATATCTTTTCTCGGTTCCTAAAAAGTTTACAAACATTATACAGATAGTACTTCTTTCAGAAATTCTCACTTAACAGATATTTCAAATAAGTCAATTCATCCTATAGTATGAAGAAAATTTTACTTTCTAAACTTGGCATGCCTAATAGGAGGTTGCTTGGTGGGTACAATGTGTGTTGCTCAAGTGATGGATGCACTGAGGGCCCTGACTTCACCAGGACGTCGTGTATCAATGTAGCAAATTGCACTTGTACCCCATGAAAATATCCAAAATAAATACAAAGTTTAAAAAAAAATTCCATGCCATCTACTTGTTGCACTCAAATAAACCGAATAAAAACATCTATATAAATAGTACACACACAGAACTGTAAAATGAGATTTTCACTATTTCAAAAAAATCTATGTATGTATAAAAAACACGGCTCATTTAAATGCAAAACCACAAATGATTTGCGACTTAATCACTGTCTGAATTTGGCTCAGTGACACAATACTCCAGGCAAATCAACACCTGCCAGCCACAGGTAGGTCAGAGAATTATTAACATCATTGTCCACACACACTGTGACCTTGGGGTCTATGCGGAACACCAGATGTACTGGGATCATCGGGCCTTACCAGCAAGCCTTTAAGGACACCCTTTCAGCCTCAGAGACACGCTGTCTGGGATCTCCGTCAATACAGCCAGGCTTTAAGAAATACCTTACTGGAGGGCATTGGGAGAAAAAATACAGAAAGACAAACTCAGGTGGCTCTCCGTTTGGGCCTGTTTTCTGTCCTAATCTAACAGCTGACCTGATTGATTCTGCTTTAGGTAGATGTTTGGACAAATGCCAGACTTTGTCAGAAACCAGGAATCCCTTGCTTTCTCTGCTAGATTTTCCTTAGCAAACTAACAAGTTTAACCACTTTTATTTATTCTTGGAGACTCAGTGGTTTAAAAAATGGGTGCTAGACCCTTTTTCTCCATCTCTCTATTATAGCGATTCCTTACTTTACTGAAAGCCAACATGGATATCAGATTCAGTTTGGAGAGAAAAAAATAGATCACAGCACTCCATCCAATTTAAATGGCTCCTGATCTTCTGTGTAGACACTGGTTTTAGTTCTGAAAGGGCTTGAGAATGGGGGAAACCAGCGCCTTTAAAAAAGCTCCATAACCAGCAACTAGTACAAAGCCTACTCTGTAAAGCTGAAAAATAAGATCCCAGCAACACAGCAAGAAAATTCTTCAACAGCAAAACCAAGGGGGCCACCTGGCGCTCAAAGTGTGAGGGCCTAGAGGCAACCCACAGGCTGGGCTCGGGCCGCAGCCCAGAGCTCCTTGGCTGGGCCTCATAAGAGGCGACACAACACCTAGGTCACAAGCCCAGAGCACCGCCTGTTCCTGCGGCGGGCCCGGCATTCCGGCGGCCTCCCCTCCCTGCCAGGCCAGGCTCAAGCTATGGCGCCGCCGCTCAGCCCCGCTTCGGAAGGGGACCTGGGGACTGCACGTCCGGGGTCGCTCACCGGCAAGCGGGGCGCTGCGCAGTCCCGGGCTGCTTCCGCGCGGACAGAGCCGAGGACAGGGTCGCGGAGTCCAGTCCCGGGAGCCGGGGTGGGGGTGGAGCAACCGGCCTGGAGCACGGCCTCCGAGCTGGGACGGGGGAGGGGCAGGACGACTACGGCATCAGCAGAGGCAATGCGCTGCTGCTGCAACCTGCGCTGGCGCCTGCGCGTAGCACTCACGGAGGGACGGGAGTGTCCCTGGCCTGAGTGGGGCGCATGCGCCCTTCATCCTCCTGCTTGAGTCCGGAGGCTCAGGGCTTGTGATTGTGCGCTCTCTAAGGTTTCATTAGCTTTGTGTCCCTCCAGACTTCAAAGTGTGTCCACTCTAGCCACGAATTACCTAGGAATAGTCCCTTCTCCTTTTTCCCATATTAGACCATTTCCTTTTGGAAAGAGGAAAAATACGTACCATCTTCTTCAGCTCTCTCCTGAGCAGTCTCGTCGCTCCTGCAATGCTATTCGTTGCTGACGCTCTAGGAATGGGATAAATTGGTCAGTACGCTCGCCTCTTGACAGCAGCAAAGCTACGTCTGTTTTAATTTAGAAACTCTTGCCAGCTAGAAGGAAACAGCAAACTGCAAGGCCGTATTTTTGTTTTTGTTTGGATTTTTGCCTTGCCCACGCTGCCCCTCCCCACCCTTTAACTCTGGTGCTGGTTACAGGTGTGTGAGGCCCCGCCTAGGATCCTGGTACTTCAGCTCTTCACTGTGGGTTGGGGCTGCCCTTCCCCACCTCTAGGTTATTTTACTTAGAAGACAAGAACAACGACAAAGAGTCATGTTGAGGGTTCAGTGAGATGCCAATTATAGTATTAAGGGCAGACTAGTCTCATTGCGGAGAGTTTAATGTTTAATGAATAGCAGACATTGTTACAGTCACAAATAGGAGCAAGGAAGTGAGAGTGATTTATTTCTCTCTTCTAACAGGATCATTGTGTTTCAGCCATTTGGGATATGAAACTATGTAAAAGTGGGAAATACATGTCAGAACAACATACAATTTAAAGATTAAAATGAGTACTGTAGATCCACATGTGAGATAATGAGCTTTCTTGTACAGTGTTTTCAGAGACTTAAAAATCCTAAGTTTTCTGGTAGACAGTTAATATGTATCAAAACTATTAAAATGTTCATATCGTTTGGTCCAGCAATTCCACTCTTTCAGAAGTATCCTAAACCTGATGAGAACTCTAAAAAGATTTGGGAATAGGGGTGTCTATTTAAATCAACTGAATGTCCAATAAGAGACATTGATAAAATCATTATTTTTCAACCCCTTTTATTTAGTCCATATTTTCCAAAGGGGAGGGTCACGGTTTCTTCCATTAACATTGTTTGAAATTTCAAAATTAATAGGTTGGTTAAAACAAATCGGAATCATGGGCGAAAATTTTTCTCAAAATTATTGACAGTCCACCTGTGGGGTTATGATGTTCCTCTTAGAATTACTGAGTTACTGAAATTATAGAATAGCCATTTATTGAGTTTTTATAAAGCCAGTAGAAATCATGTTATAAAGATGTCATGCGAGGAGTGATAATATAAAATTAAGTAAAATCAGGATGGAAAATATAGGATACAAGGTATTATAATAGGATGCAAAGTATATTCACATATAGAACATTTATATAAATATATATTACATATCTGCCTTGAAATTGTAAGAAATATACGAAATATAGTTGCCTGTATTTTGAAAGTATATATGTTTTTTCTTTATTTTTGTTAAATTAGCAAATGGCTCTATCATGTAAGATGTATTACTTTTAAGTGAAAAAGTTACTTTTATATTTCTTTAATTCTTAAGGGAGTACTTAGTATTCTCTCAATTAACCTTATCATTTAACTTAAAACATATGGCACAGTTTCTTATCAAAATTCCTGGAATTCACATAGGAATAAGTCTTCCTGGGTGAATATTGCTGTAAGAAGCAGTGTAGTGGCTGGGTTAGGAACACAGCCTTAGAAGCCATATGGCCTGAAAATGAGCCCAGCCTGGCAGAGGTAAACAAAATCTCTGTGAGTGAGCAAAATACTTAGCCTTCTTTATACTCAATTTGTATTATCTGCAAAATGAATATAGTAATAATGTCTATCTCAAAAGGTTGTAGATGGGAGCTGATACCTGTAGGGCACTCAGTAAATATTAGATACTATTACGAAAAATTGATCATCCATATAACAGGGAAGTACTTGAAAGACAAATATTGAATGTTTGGTACATTTGTTCCTATGCCCTTATTTTTCATCATCAAAACACATTTTGAAAGGAACATTTTCTGAAAAGCTTCCAGTTATTTAATTAACAATGATTTCCTGAGTTCTGAGCTCAGTACTGGTCTAGGTGCTATTAGATATAAAGGCCAATGATTTTAACAGTCTGGGTTAAGTTTGAATAGAAGAATATTCTTCCCTAATGATTTCTGGTTATATTTGATACTGATGCTGAAGCTAAGGGATTTCTCTAAGTTGTACTAAATCTTGAAAACAGCCTTATCTCTCATTTCAAGTCTGCCTTTTATCTCCTTTAATGGTAAATCACCCAAATCCTAATATCGGTCAGCCATAACTAAAAATTTTACAAAAAATACTTTTCTAGAAATTGCCTATTAAAAATTATAAGCAGATAAGTAACATAATTATTTTAAAGCACATACTTTATCAAATGTTAATATATAAGTCTCTCACAGCTCACCACCTTCCACTGTTAGGCTGGTCAGATTACAGTAGAAACTTGGTTAGATTACATTAGAAACCTGGAATTGAAAAGATTGACGTTTTTCTGGCTGATTTTCAGAGATGGTGCCCCAGATACATAGCAAAACTACCATTAGCAAAACCGCCATTTGCCCCTGTGCCATCTGACCTACATTCACTGGCAGTAAACTCTTGACTATGACACAACTTTGTCATTCCCTTTATTTTAAAAGCAGAGGTCTGTATTAAATTCTGCAAATAACTTATCTTTCTGAAGCTCTTGCTTATGTCTCTGTACTTTTTTTTTTTAGGCAGGATTTTCTATACTTTCTGAATCTTATTTGTCTTGCTTCACACCTATATGGAGCTAATCTCTTCCCATGTGTTAAAATTTTCTTTCCCAAATACTCAAATCGTCTTTTATAGGGTTTTGGTCATAATCATAATTTCTAATGAGAATAATTTTAGGAGTTCGATAAAACTTGGTGAATGAATGAATTTATTGTGGTAGGCATTGTGTAAAGTAGTTTACATCATCTCATTTAATTTTTATAGAAATGCTATGGATTAGGGTCTGTTATTATCCCATATCTTATTCAAACAGTGGAAATAGAGGATCCAAAGTATTATATGACTGGCACATGGTCACAGAGCCAGCAACTAGAACTCGGATATTTTGATTGCAAAGCCATAGCTGTTAACCACTGTGGCATGAATATCTGCATTAAATTTGGAAGAGTGAATTTCGTCCACAGCTTTTACTAAACAAATATATGTGATGACATTGAGTAGTTAACTGATTAGGAGGAAAAAAAGAGGGTATTTTCACTCTTTTTCTAAGTGCTCTTCACTGCTGGTGAAATGAGGAGAATTGGATCCAGAAGTCCTTGAGGAGGTGTTCTTAAATGAATATAAAATAAGGAAAACACAGAGTCTAATCTGGATTTATAAGTTATAAAAGACTTTCTTTACAACAAACACAAGCTAGAGAAGATGTTTAAAAAAACTTATCAAAGAAATGAGGATACAAAGTTGTTAACTTAAATCCAAAAGATAAGGAGGGCTTCCTAAGAGAGAATAAAATTATAATTGTTTTCATCTCCTACAAAACAGTGGGAGAAAGAGAAATGCACCATAAACAGGGGCAAAGGGAGATCCACCAAATGTTTTATGTCTGTGTGTGGGGCAGGATAATAAATTACAATCTCATGCAGTTCCAGTGGTAGAATGAGTATATACTCACTCTCCATTTCTCTCCCAAAGACCTTTATTAAGTGCTCAAATGTTGTATATGAAAGGCATGAGGTAGGGCAGGATTGCTGAGAGAAATTTCTTTGAAAATTCTAGGCCTTTATCCAGTGTACTGCAGCAGCTCTGTGAAGGCTGGTGGCAGGGTGGCAGGCTGCCCAGAATTCTCCTGAGGCACAGAAAAACAGGCAAGACTGGAGAGTAAAGAGAACAACCTGTAGAGATACTGGAGGCTAGGTGTTTCAGCTAAGAAAGTATCGAATAGTTTGGTGGTATGAGCTTGTAGGTGCACATTAATCTTGAGAGTGTGCCAGTGCCAAGAACTCAAGCACACTTGAAAGCAAAAGTAAACTGAGCCGAATTGAAACTTCAATAAAACCCAGACTCAGCATATTGAAAGATTTGATTCAGCCTTTTAAACAATAATACTGATAGAAAAAAATGGCAAAATGTTTTTTGAGGTATGTATCATTTACTGTTTTCTTTTATACAATATCTAGCATAGAATAAAAATTATGAGACATGAAGGGGCAAGAAAGTGTAAGCCATGGACGAGAGAAAATGCTTAATAGGAGAAAATATAGAAATGTCCCAGATTTGGAATTATCTGGTGGTGACTATAAAATCACTATGATAAATATGATGCAGATTCTGTATAAAAAGTGGAAAACGTGGATGAACAGACAGGGAATTTTAGCAAAAAGATGGAATCTATTTTTAAAAATCAAGTTGAAATAGTAGAAATAAGAAGCAGAAAGTTAAATTTTTAGGATTTTCAGCGAATTGGACGTAACAGACGAAAAAAATTGGACGTAACAGAGGAAAAAAAACCCGTAAACTTCAGATAGGTCAGTAGAAATTATATGAACTGAATATAAAGAGCAAAATCAAGGAAAAATGGAAGGGAATATCTGATATCTTTAGGACAATTATCAAGTCATTTAGCATATATGTACTTAAATCCAAGGAGCAGAAAGAAAGGGGATAGAAGAAATATTGAAAAGATAAAAACTGAGACATCTCCAAAACTGAATATATAAAGCCATACATTCCAGAAACTCAGTAAATCCTAAAAACAAACAAAAAAAGCAAATTTAAAGAACACTAAACCTAGGGAAACAGAAAAATAAAAATCTTAAAATTAGTTATAAGAAAGATATACATTACATACTGGGGAACAATGATAAAATCACTACTAATTTCTATATCAAAAGCGATGGAGGCCATAGAAAATG